GTATGACATATGAAAACAAAACAAGACAAACATTAGCCGAAAAGAAAAGTGAAACATAATTTGAATATTTAATTTATATACATGATTTGCAGCTCTAAGCTGAGAGTGTGTGTTACATTTTGGTCTGATTGGGAGGCACATAAAAACAAGTCACGAAACTTAACTAATGAAAAAAACTAACAAGTGCCTAAATTTGAGGCCCCCTCTGAGCTTGAGACCTGGGCCAAATGGTCCTCCCTCTAATTGGCCCTACTCTACAGATAAACGGATTCCATTCAACATTATGAATACGTAAACAAATACTTAAGAATTAGTAAACCATAGTGGAAAATCGTAACAGTTGTCAACAAATATAAAAACTGACTTGTTTGAGCGTAAACTATAAAATAGGCTATTTGCGCTCTGTCCACTACAGGAAATCAAACCTCCGATTTCAACGTTGTAAGTTTGGAAACTTACCGTTGATCTACCAGGGGACCATATAAAACCTACAAAATTTTTCAGAATGTTTTTATTTTGAAATGAAAAATTCAAATTCTAAATAAATTATATTATAATTAGCAACAACAAAAAAAAAGATCCACTTACTGTTCAAACTCTCACTCCTTTTTATACATATTCAAATCACGATGTGTTATTCAAGTTCGAAGCCAGGCCCCATTATTTATAATGTCTTCTTCTCTATAACGTAACCATATACTGTCTCTCAGTAACTCAGCGGTAACTTTGAGAGCTTATAACACCGATATTCGGGTTCGATTCCTGCGGAGGGGGTCAGGCCCGGCATGGCCAGGTGGTTAGGGCGCTCGACTCCCAATCTGAGGGTCGCGGGTTCGAATCCCCGTCGCACCAAACATGCTCGCCCTTTTAGCCGTGAGGGCGTTATGATGTCACGGTCAATCCCACTATTCGTTGGTAAAAGAGTAGCCCAAGAGTTGGCGGTGGGTGGTGATGACTAGCTGCCTTCCCTCTAGTCTTACACTGCTAAATTAGGGACGGCTAGCGCAGATAGCCCTCGTGTAGCTTTGCGCGAAATTCATAACAAACAAACAAACTATCCTGCGGAGGGCACAGCTTTTTACGTAAAATAAACAAAAAATATATTTTGTTTTTCTATACCAATTCGTAGTCAGGATTGCATTAAACTTTTAATAAATAGCCTTCTTGTTACAAAAAATCTTACAAGTCTGGAATACATAAATATATCTTGTTAAAAGATATACGAAAAATAATTACTAGTTTTAACAGACTTACACTACAACTAAACACGATAGTCCGGGGGTGACCTAATAGTTAAAATGCTGGACTGAGGATCTGGGGGGGGGTCTGTATTTTGGGACCAAAGGTACATTGTAAGACTGATGGTCAAATCATAGTATTCAATTAAAGGAGTCCAAGAGTTAGCGGTGGATGCTGTTGGCTATCTGCCTTCCCTCTGGTCTATCACTGGAAAATTATGGCGATTTATGCGTAAATACGTGAATATCCAAATTTAATAAATCAAACAAGAGATGTTTTTGTTTAATTTTGTATTATTGACTTTGCTAACATACAGTTTTCTACAAGTAAATAATTTAAAACACGAAAAACTGTTCCAAAATGTAATTATATTTAGAACTTAAAATAATATTTTATCTTCAGTAAATACAAAGTTCCATTTTCATAGATATTTGTTTGTTTGTTTTTGAATTTCGCGCTATCTGCGCCAGCCGTCCCTAATTTAGCAGTGTAAAACTAGAGGGAAGGCAGCTAGTCATCACCACCCACCGCCAACTTTTGGGTTACTCTTTTACCAACGAATAGTGGATTGACCGTCACATCATAACTTCCCTACGGCTGAAAGGGGCGAGCATGTTTGGTGGGACGGGGATTCGAACCCGCGACCCTCAGATTACGAGTCGAGTGTCCTAACCAGCTGGCCATGCCGGGCTTTCGTAGATATACCCTTTTTACTAAACATTTTTTATACTATGATTTTTTTTCCTACCTGGTGTCTAGAAATTAAATTGTTGTACATACGGTATTCTTCAGTAAAGAGATACGTCCAATTAAATCACGGTTGCAATCGTCAGAGAAACGCTGAGGATCACTAAAGTTTGAAGAATGAAGACCGAAGTGTAGGAAATGACAAGTGTTGGAGTTACAGTTTAAGATGTTCAAAACACAGGTTGAGCAGTGCAATACGAGGAAGAAGAAAAAAAGAGCTGTACACATCAACATAGTTGTGGGTTTTATTTGGGAACTGGCATGTACTTTTAAAGAAGATGTACAATTTGTATGAAGAATTTGTAGGTTGGAGAAGAAGTTGGAGGCTATCATAATTAAAGTAGAGGCAATAGATAAAGAGAAGTGTATACTGTGGGAAATGGCAGCAGGATTTTAAGAGGAGCTGAAGTTTTTACATGCAAATAATACATCAGCTAACAATGACTTTCAGGAAGTTAGAAACAGTACTATTAGGGCTAAAAATAGTGAATTTAATTATAATGAGCCTATTCTATTGAGCAACAAATTTCAGCCCTTGGTTTCTATAGATGGTGTCAGAGAAGGAAATTGATGATAAGGAGGTTATAGTTATAGGTGACTCCTTGACAAGGCATATGGATAGAATAGTCTGTGGGGTAAATAGGGAGAAAAGAATCAGATTATGATACCCAGGGGCACAGGTGGAGGATATAACTGACAGAGCAGGAGATATAATAAAGGGGGCTAGGAGAGATGCAGTTTTTGTGGTGAATGTACGGGCTAATGATGTAGAGAAAGATAGGTCAGAGGAGGTAACTAATAAGTTCAAGGGGTCGATAAAGGTATTTAAAGAAAAAGGCCGTAACATAATTTTATCAGGGATACTGCCCAGAATTAACTGTGGAGATGAAGTTAAAAGTAGGTCATTAGGGCTAAATTCTAGGCTTAGGTTAGTATGTAAGGATGAGCAGATTGGCTGGTTGAACTTGTGGGATCAGTTCAGTGGAAGAAGGGAGCTTTTTGGAATGAATGGTTTACATTTAAATAGAGTAGGAGCTGGCTTGTTTGCTATTAACTCAGCTGTAAGGGAAGTTTTAAACTAGGATTAGACAGTGTTGAGGGCCAGGATAAACTAAATGCAAAAGAATAAGAGGTGGAAAAAAGTTTAGCATAGGAAATGAGTATAGAAGTAGTTATAAGGATAAGCTTAATTGTTAGTATTGTAATGCTAGAAGTATAAGAAATAAAATAGATGACTTTAGAGCACTGGTAGGAATGGAGAATTTTGATATAATGGGAATATCTGAAACATGGTTAAACGTAGATGATTTTGATGACAAAAATTTATTTGAAATATATGGTTACAGGACATTTAATAGGGATAGAGTGACTATATATGTAAAATGCGAATTACACCCTGATGAAGTTGAGGATATCAAAGATAATAGCAAAGAGATTGAATCCATTCAGGTTTTTATTAGTGGATATAAATGGAAAACGCTTTTAGTTAGAATATGTTACAGACCACCAAATAATACTGATGAAATTAGTGAGAAACTTTACAATGATATTAAGATTTCAGCTGTTAATGAAGTCATAATTATGGGTAATTTTAATTTCAGGCATATAGATTGGGAAATTCTAGAGTCAAACCATGAGGGAGAAAGTTTTTGGAAACTGTTCAAGTTGGCCTTCTTCACC